AGTTCTCTGTTCATGTGCTGTTCTAATAGTTATTGGATCATTTTCAGCAGGATCTTGCTTGCATGTGATATAAATTATATTGTTCAATAATTTCCACGCTCTGTTGTGTCACCTCTTTTTTGGAATAGCAAAACACATGCTCCTCTTCCAGTGAGTTGGCCAGGTGGCTGTCCTCTAGATTTCTTGGTGCAACCTACTGAGCATGTGCAGGGCAGCATCTGTTTGTTGAAATATGTCAATTGGTATGCCATTAATTCCTGGGGCTGTGTTTTTTGCCAATTTCTTCAGAGTAATATGAACTTCCTCCTTCATCACCATAGACCCTTGATCTTATGTTGTTTCATTAAATTCTTCTCTCATCCAATTTTTTTTGTATTAATGACTCTGTGTACTTCTTTTCTGCTTATTTTAATGCTTCCTGGGTCCCTCATCATTCTGCCCATAGCCATTCTTAAGTATTGCAACTTGAGGCTTAAATTTGTTCTTCAGTTCCTTCTGCTTAAGAAATGCCAAGCAAGTTTGTCTCTTTTGTAGTTGTACAGCTACAGCTCTTTGCACATTTCATTACAACACTTTGTTTTCCTGTGCTGCCCTTTGAAATCTTCTGCTCAGATAAATAGCTTCTTGATCTCCTCCCTTTGCTTTGACTTCTCGGCACTCTAATGCACTCTAGTCTCTTCTGACATAAATTTTAGTCTTTTCTTCCTCTGTCTTTTGAATGACATTTTTCATTCTTCATGGATGATATTCTTGATATTACCCCACAGCTCATCTGGTCTTCACTCATTAGTATTCAAGGTCTCAAACCTGTTCCTGAGATGGTCTTTCAATTTAGAAGGGATAGACTCAAGGTCAAACTTTGGTACTTGTGGATTTGGTTTTATTTTCTTGAGCTTCAGTTTGAACTTGCATTTGAGTAGTTGACAATGTTATCCACAATAAGCACCTGGCCTGGTTTTCAAAGCTGATACTGAGCTTCTCCAATAATTTCCCCCATATATGTAATCTCTGTGGTTCTGGTGTAGGCTATTAGGTGAGATCCGTGTGTATAGTCTCCATTTGTGTTTTTTTATAAAAGGTATTTGTAATGAATAAATAATTGAGTGGACAGAATCCTGTCATTCTGTCTCCAGTCTCCTTTTTGTCACCAAGTCCATGTCTCCTGACGTCTTTCCTGTTTCCAACTTTTACATTCCAGTCATCATCCACTATTATGAATACATCTTGGTTACATGTTCGATTGATTTCTGACTGCAACAGTTGGTAGAAATCGTCTATTTCCTCCTTTTGGGCTTTGGTTTTTGGTGCATAAATTTGAATGATAGTGGTATTAACAGGTCTTTCTTGTATGCGTATGGATATTATCTTGTCTCTCACAACATTGTATTTCAAGATGGATCTAGAAATGGTCTTATTAACTATGAAAGTGATCCCATCTTTTCCTTATCTTTTAATTTCCATGTTTTCCAGATTCAGTAGTTGGAAGGGTGGAGAGAGTGTGCAAACACAATTCATGTGCCCAAAGGGTGGACCCCCAGGACCAACACCTAATCTGTTACCTACATACTCTCATCACGTCTTTTGGGTAAAATGCTTGTCTGTCAAATATTGCTCTAAAGATGAGCACCTAAATCAAGATAGACTAGGAAGAAGGATTGGCCATCCACTTCCGATGCCTCATCTTAGTCCTATTTTATTATAGAGTGTTATGTAGTATTTGTTCTTTTATAACAGATATTTCATTTAGCATAATGTCTTCCAGGCTCACTGACTTTGTGTAGTATTTTACAAGTTCACTGTTTTTCAATGCTGCAAAGTATTCCATTTTGTGAATGTACCATAGCTTTTCTATCCATTCATTTATTGACAGACACTTGGGCTGCTTCCATCTTTTTGCTAATGTGAATAACACCACAATAAACATAGGTGTGTACACATCCATTTGAGTTAGGGCTCTGATTTTTTGTTTTAGTAGCTGTACAATTTTACATTCCCACCAGTAGTGACTAAGACTTCTAGTCTTTTCCTAACTTAGCCAACATTAGTTAATGCAGTTTTAAAAGATGTAGCATTCACCACAACAAGATAAAGGTAAATAATCCAATAGAAAAATGGGCACAGGATATGAACAGACACTTCACCAAAGAAGACATTCAGATGGCTAACAAGCACATAAAGAAATGTTAAAAATCCCTAGCTCTAAGAGAGATGCAAATTAAAACAACTATGAGATATCCTTTCACCCCAGTCAAAATAGCAAAATTTAACAAAACAGCAAGCAACAAATGTTGGCGAGGTTGTGGAGAAACTGCAACTCTTATTCACTGTTGGTGGGAGTGTAACATGGTGCAACCACTGTGGAAGGTGGCATGGCGCTTTCTCAAAAAGTTGCAACTAGAGATACCACTGACCTAGCAATTCCACTACTGGGAATATACACCAAAGAGACCGTAACTGACATCCAAGCAGATATATACACACCCATGTTTATTGTGGCTTTGTTCACAATAGCAAGGAGTTGGAAACAACCTAAGTGCCCATCAGCAAAT